ATGTTTATAATTATTTTTACAAGGACATTACTTCTTTATGATGTGGTGTTAGGAGAAGTCTAATTAGTAGAGGCACTCTTGTTCATATTACTAATCCACCATTTAGGAAGAATTTATAAACTGTTTAATTTCTAAATAGATAGAATTTAAAAGGTGGATAAGTGAATAGTACTTGTGGATTCAATAAAGTTTGACCATTTATAAATGTTTATAAATTTTGCCAAACAGTGGGAAATGTTTCTTGATGCATTATGTGTTTTCTTTGGACATGGAAATGCCTCTGCCTAGACTTTAAGATGTCTGTCTTCTTTGAAAGATTCCTTTTATTTTTTTTATTTTTATTTTTTTTTGTGCTTCTGTCCTTTGTTACATAACTTTTTGTCTGGCCCCTCTTTCGAATATATAAGGATTTTTTCAGCATAATAACTCGTGAAAACTTTGGCTAGATATGGTGTTACCTTCCTTTTATTTATGAATTATTATAGTTATACAAAATAAAGTTACAAAAAGAGCATGGTGGGAACTTGCACTTTCAATATGTTTAATTTCTTCGTTCAACTACTAGATAAATGTGCAAATGTTCTATGTTTTCCGATAAAATTTGCATTACTTTAAAAATAATCATAACCATGCACATGCTCCCTTTTTTCACTTCTATAACCTGTTTAACTATGCCCAATATCCAATTCTTTTTCTCTTTCTGAGTTACCCATCATTATTTTATTCTCTCATGATTTTTCGTATTATACAAAATATAAAAGTCTATGCACCCATGTATGCATAATAATGTGTTTAATGCTCTTTATAGATTTTTGTGGATTAAACTACCATCAGTGTCTATTTAATTACCCGTCATCTATGCCCATGTCGTTATATCATATGNTTTTATTAACGACTAGACTTATGTGCCGAAGCCATTATATTATATGTAATGTCTGTTTTGCATGGGCATCGACTAACTTACCCTTTCATGGCTTTCTATTGCATTCCCATGATTCGAACCTAAGACCTTTAGGTCCTCTACCTAATGAATCATATTGTATGAAAATATGATTTCTTCTATTCTCCTTTAACTTCTGAAGAAATTAATAAATTATATGTAAAAGCCATAGCATTTCGTATTGTATGTGCCAATTGTCATTTAGCTAATAAGTCCGTGGATATTAAGATCCCACAAGCGGTACTTCCTGATATTGTATTTGAAGCAGTTGTTGCCAAGAAGAACAAAAGGACTGAGATACGTAATGGATCTTGAAGTACTATTTCTGCATCTCCTAGTCATTAGATAGAGGTCTTGGGTTCGAATTGGGGGACGCGATAGAAAGTTGTGAGTGGGTAAGTGGGTAGTTGCCCACCCAAAGTGGACAGTACGTATGATATAATGGTTTGAGCTCATAGGCTGAGTTGTTACAGTCTACTTTACCCATAGTGGGCATGTTTATAGGTGAGAGAGAGGGGGTCAGGAGGGGTGGATGAAACATTAGCCCACCATTCGTCCTAAAATGATGTTTTAATTGCTAATGAGCACGCTATTTGTAAATTGATTCTTCAATGCTTCATTGATTTTTTGTCCTCATTTAGAGACGAAGTGAGGAGCTTGCTGTTGCTTCTGGAGAACAGATGGAGGCTATTAGCAGCACCGAAAGCAAAAACACAATTGGAAGAAAAAGAAGTAATAGTATGGCACAAGGATTTTCTAGTTCACCAATTATTTACAATGATGAGTTTGACACTTCAGTGGCAATGTTTAACATAGTATGTTCCCTTGATGTTCGATAGTGCTTTAGCTAGATTGATAATAATGTTGTATTTATCTTATTCAAGCATGCCTGAATCTGATTTCAGGCAGTTACCTGGTTCCATCTTCATGACTACGCAAAATCGTATTCATATTTGGATACTTTGTATCAGAACATTGAACCCATTGATGAGGTAATTCATTTCAAGTGAAGTTTTTATGGTTCGTGAATTTATCTTTGCTGGTAATCTTCTATATGGTAACATGCAGGGGATGGCTCTTCGTATTTGCCTTTTGTTGCTAGATGTTGCTTTGCTTTCTGGCCATGCATCAAGATCTGCGGTAAGTTCAAACTACAATATATAAATTTCCTAGCATTTATTGGGAATGAAGATGCCAAGATGATTTTTCCTTTATATATTTAATTTTCTGAAGTAAAATCATGAGGATAGGCTGTGTCTAGCCTGTTACATTCAATTGTCTGACATCAATTTTCAAATGACCCTAATTATCTATCGCATGTGGGTATCTGATGCAAAAGCGGAAGAAAACATAATAACTAGAAAGAGAGACAAGAGGGAAGAATAGAAGAAGAGAGAAAAAGGAGTGGAATTCGTAGGACATAATTAGTTTATATGTAATTCTGATTAATTCTCAAAGTTGGTACAAACTGAATGATGGAGATAATAAAGATATTTTATTAAAGAAATTTAGAGGTACTTTTATTTCCTTATTATGCTTCCTACTTAAATTAGGTCAAGTTAAATCCTATACAAAGAGGGTTATATTTTTCTATTAAACAAGACTTTTGATGAATTGAATAAACAATATTTTCTCTCCAGTTTCAATCCAATCGTCCTCTTGCTCGGCTGCTTCTTCTCCTCTCTATATTTATCTCTCTCTTCTCCATCTCTTACCCTCTCTTATTTCTCCCTTATCTCTTCTTTCTACTATAATTCTAGTTCTCGTCATGAGCATACTACGTCACTAAATCCTAGCTCCCTTTTTATTGTTGTAACTTAATTGGTATTTCAAGTAAATGTGTCATCAAAACCAGTCTGTTTAATCATATCAAAACAAATATAATTTAAAAATAAAGAAAGTTTGAGAACATTGATTTTGTTGATCGCTTGACTGCCTATGCCCATTCCTTTTGATACATCCTACTTTGGAGTGAGTAAAATACACAAAAGATGAGCTAAGACTACGATGAATAGATCTTTTAGCTTCAAGTTAGCTCTTCCCAATAGGGAAGGTTAGGTACCCATTTTCCCGAAAGTAATGGCATGCAATCTCTCTCATGGGTGGCAATGCATCAGTAATTTTACGAATATGACATTAGTACACTCTTTTTAGTATAGTGCTTATCTCAAGGGGTTTTTGGTGCTCGCCTCATGGGAAAGAAGAGTACATGTTACTAGAGATGGTGACATCAACATAATATTAATTCCTTGAAATGTATATGTACTCACTAATAGTAGGAGAACCCTATCTATTGTTGAAAGATTGATCTACGTTCTAACAAATGATCCTTACGATTGGTGGATGCATAGTTCACTTTCAACACGAATTTATTTCGGCCCACAAGGTATATAGCCTTGATCTAAGCACTCAATGTGAAGTATTACAATTTGTCAATAACATTAGACAGACCCTATGAGTTTTATTCTTGCAAAATAAACATGCTGGGTGTTTTTCACGCCATAGAACTCAAATTACAAATACATCAAGCCAATGAAGCTTGGGATCAGGTTGACCATCAAATTATGTTCTAGTTTGATTTTCCTGTTGACATTACCACTGTCCTTTTATTTTGTGGCTAATGTATTTGTATGGTGGGTACATGGGGAGGGTTGATGTGGTCATCTTGGCATTGACCATGGAGTTGCTGATGTTGAGAGATATGCCTAGGAAAACTGGGAATTATTTTCTTTGAGGCATGGCATTGGTGCTCTAAAGGCGTCATCATTAGAGTGGTTATCATCCTGAATACTGCTTGTGCAGGTGAATTGATAAGTAGGCAATGGGGTTATGAGCAATTCACCTGCTCAGAACCTCTTAAGACATCTAAAATTTGTTGAGTGCCTAACATGTTGTCTTAATGACGAGTTCTTAATTCCTTGTGATTGCCTGGATATCTGAAAATATGCATCAATTCACTAGTCGTAGGCTGGTAGCTAAAGTGTCTTTAACATCAACCGAATTAGCTTAGAGGTCTTTCCTAATGATGGTGACGCTGTCAGCCTTTTCCTAGATGGGTAGGCAAGACTATTCAAGAAAGAATGAAAGAGAAAAAGAGAGGAGAATAGTATAAGAGACAAGATGAGGGAAATTTGGGAGTAAAAGTTCATTCTAAGTGTAATTTTGATTAATTTTTGAAGTTGTTTACATTCTGGAACTCTTTTTCCTGTTTTATAGTTGTGATGAATTAAATTCAAATCAAACTTTTGATATATCTTAATTATATTGTTATTGAATCTAATTTTATTTAAAAGAATCCTATACTATTTGCGTCCGACTTTACGTCTTTCACTTCGGACTGCCATATGTTACATCATAAGGAAGACATCCCATCTGGCAATCATTGGAGTCAATAGGCTTTATATGTTTCTCATCTGGGTAGGACTTGAAAAGGAAAGAACTGCAAAACTGGGAAGACTAGCAATGAGAAGCGATGACTTTTTCTTTTGTGTTCATGTCATGTAATGGTTTTGTTGGTCTACTTTGGTTACAACTCGTGAAACTACTCGAGCTTCGTGCTCAATCATTTTTACGTACTGTCTGTTTTGGGAGGGGATCTTCTTTCTTAGCCCTCGTGGCTTTTTATCATGTCCTCAAGATTCGAACTTAAGATCCATCTTATGAGCACCTTTTTGTAATGATTTGGCCTCTGTTTAAGTCGTTAACTTACGTACTGTTTGTTGTCCCCGATTGGTACTAGGATTCAATTTAAGTCTGTCATAAGACATAGGTTTTGAGTTCGAATCTTGAAGGATGCGACAGAAATCTGCAAGGGGTAAGATGGGTTCAAGCTCTCGCAAAGCAAACAATGCATAAGTTAATGGCTTGGACACAGACTATTAAGTTGTACTAACCTAACATCTATGTTCGAACGGTTGACCTTGTGTACTGTTAGCTCTGAGAGAGTCTTGAGTCCATTACGGATATTGATGCGGACATCCCTATATCTATTTTTTTTTGGACTCTTATTGATGTTTTCTAGTTATTGGGCTTGTATTATTGGGTTGGCCCAAGCCCATCACTAGTAGGTTTATGTTTTACTATTTATATGGTTTACAATTGTAATTGAAGGGGATGATGAATTGAAGAATATGAAAATGCTTGGCTTATTGCTTAGGGCTTCCTCCTCCTCTCCTTTTCCCTGAATTTCTGCTTCTTCTCCGGTTTCTTTTCACCATTCTCTCCTATTTCTTCCCCCTTTCTTGCTGCCTTTTCCTTATCCTACGTCAAATTTGGTATCAAAGCTAAACTTGGGTAATATTTCTTTATCCAATCTATCAAATCTCCTTCAATTATCCATGTCCATAATTTCAAATCATTGATCAGTTTCTCCAAAACCCTAGAGCAGCACAAAGAAAGAATTTGTTGTGGCAGC